ACCAAGGGGCTCCCCAGGAGGTGGGGCCTGGCCTGCCCGAGCACAGCCCGCAGGGGACAAGGACATGCAGAGGGGGACAGCGATAGGCCACGCTGGGGCAGGGCCAGGGGGGTAACAGGGCTATTGGGGGCACCTGGGGCACCTGCTGGCTATACTTAGCCCCTCACCCGACCCCGGAACCTCCTGCAAACCTGTTCCCTGAAAAATCCTGCGAGTCCTGGCAAGGCAGCGACCCGCAGGAGCGATGAAGTAACCCAGCGCAGGGCAGTGTGCCAGGGATAGAGGTCCTTGTCCAGAGGGCGGGAGGGGAGCGATGGCTTGGACAAGTGAACAGGCAGAGAGAGCTGGCCCAGCCCCTGTCCCCTTCCCCCCCAGTGGCACAGACCTGTGCCCGCAGCTGGCCGAGAACCTGTGCTTTCCGAGAGACCTGCGCGCACATGGAGTCGGCACACATGCGACATGCGAGTATTCCCAAACAAGCTTTCCTGAAGGAATTAAAAAAAACAACCCAAACCCGACCCTGGCCTGGCAGGGAGCCAGGGTAATGGTAACGCCATGGAACAAGTCAGTGAGAGCAGGAGGGAGCATCCAGGGGCCCCAACACAGAAACAGGGGGTGATGGGGAGCAGGGTCCAGTCTGGTACCACCAGGCCACAGTATCAAATGTTAATGCCTCAAGGGGAGGCCAAGGGACATTTATTTTGGGACAGACTGACTCCGTGAAGCAAAGCTAAACAGGCAGGCAGTGGCACTCACCGCTCAGCCAGGTCCCCCCCTCACCTGGCCCCTGGAGATCCTCAGGGAGGAGAAGGGGGTCAGCCCTCAGCCTTCCCTTCCACCACCCACCCCCAGGCCCGTGGGGAGGGCAGGGCCTGGGAGCAGAGGGCAGCTTTGTGCTGGAGGGACAGACTCAGTACGGCCTGTGGGACAAACATTACAGGAGGGGAAGGGTTGAAATGGTCCGAAACACCCCGCTGCACAGCTGGGGTCATCTTAACTGCTACAGATACTATTGCTAGCTCACGAGCTGAGTGCTTGCTTGGTCAGTGATCCAGGGCAGAGTCACTCCCTCAGAGCCCCGTGCCTGCCTGTGTCATGATTAGAGAGGGAGCAGGCCCCGGGCTCGAGCACAGCTCCAGGCGTGTGGTGTTCCCTCCCAGCCGCAGCTCTGCCAGGGGTTGCATTTGGTCATTTCATTTCCGTGTCTGGGGTGGCTACTCACAGTGCCCAAACAGCAGAAAAAGGCAGCATCAAAAGCAAAGCCCCGTCAGCAAAACCCAGGGCAGAGCCAGCAACACCGAACACAGGGACCAGCACCTGAGCTGCTCACTGGCGGCCACAGGGACGCTGCCAACCATTAGTGGAGCATCCTTTCCAAACAGCTCCGGAGAATTTTGAAGGGAAGGCTCTCCCGAGAGCTCCCAAGGCAGGAGGCTCCTCACGCTAGAGCTCCAGCCCTGCTTTCTCATCCCTATATCCAGGACCTCCCTCCAAAATGCACACACAAAGAGCGAAGAACCGGGACACCCGACACCCAGCAGGCATCTACAGAGCCTCCTCCAGAAGGCAGAGCTAGCACGGTCAGAACTGTCTGGTCGGCACGAGGAGCTCTTCCATCCTGCCTCCCTCGGCTCTCCTATCCAAGTACATTTAAAAACAACGGAGCGATACAGTTGTTTAAAACCAAAGTTGTGTTTTTCCTGTGGTAGTAAGTGGTCTTGTCTCCTCCTGCCACCAGGACAAGAATAAGAGGCCGTAGCCCAGGGCTACTGGTTTTCCTCGCGCATCTGTTCCATGATGTTGATGAGGCTTTCCAGCCCGAACACATAGCCCATGTCGGGTCCGTCGTGCACAGTGGGGTCGTCGCGAAAGCCTTTGAAGGTGCTGTGTGCAAAGTCAATCATCCGCACGTCCACCTTGGGCTGTGCCGAGGAGCTGGGCTCGGTGCTGCCGCCGTCCTGGAGGCTCTCGGGGACAGAGCCGTCCACCCGCTTCAGGCGCATCTCCGGCCGGCGCTCCACGAACGTCCCCGCCCGGCTGTCCTTCCCGTCGTAAATGATGAGGAGGGAGCTGGAGTAGAAGCGGTAAGAGGCCTGTCTCTCCAAAACCGCCTTCAGGCTCCGCAGCTTGGCAAGGACAGGCTCAAAGAGGTCCTTGCGCAGCTCGATGCCGTTGTGGAGATACTGGTAGAGGGCATTGCGGAAGCCTTCGATGGAAAGACCGCGTCCATAGTACTTATTCCTGCACAAGTAATGCCCTGTGTCCAGCTGATAGACCTGGAACACCAGAGGAAAGGCACATCAGGTGGGTGCAACGGGCTAAGGCCACACACAGAACCCTGAGCTGTCCTGCACTGTCAGGGTTGAGAGAACTTATTCTGTCCCCACCATGACGGAGAGGGAGCAGGACACAGTTCTGCCTGTTCCCTGAATCCCAAAGCAGCTCGTGGGTGCATCCCATGGGCGCAGTCAGGGTGCCCGAGCACCAATCCTCTCCCAGGACACCCAAAAGGCAGCTCATCAGTCCCAGTGCCCCACACATGGGCACAGCACAACTGACCCCAAAGGTTAAACAGCAAAGTCTTAGGCCAACTCGGACAATCCTCTGTCAGTGGGCACTGCCAACACCTATTGCCATCATGTGGCACGTGATTAACATGAAGCCCTCATTGCTTCAGAGTCTGTGGGTAGAGATCTGGGTTACAAGGCCCTTCTGTGGGTGGGGAAGGGAGCAACCGTTGCACAACAGCACCAGCAGCAAACCCTTGTGCACAGGGCTGAGCCACAGCAGAGCAACTTTTTAACTCTCAGTGCAGTACAGAAGGAAATCTTAGGCAATTCCCTCCCCAGGCATCATGATTCTGGCTGAACACTGAGCCACAAAACAATTTTATTAGACAATCCCCTAATTGTCCGTGGACAAAGCAAGCCATCTCAGGAGAAGCAGATTCCTTTGTTATAGGCTAAGAAAGGAAGACAAAAATAGCGTGAATGCCGGTGTACCTACCTGCAGTGGGAGATTGAAATTCAGCGCTCAGCAGAAAATGCTAACTGGGAGGTTTAATGAGGCTGCAAAAAGGAATGTCCAGCACCTGCAGCCTGGGGGATCCCTACCTGCATCCCACACACGCGCACGCCCAAGGTGGCAGAAGTGCTCTGTTCACATTTCTTCATCTGCCGAGCAGCCTTCTCCTCGGACGCATCATCTCCGTGCTGTCTGGTCCCCATCTTCAGATCAAGCACGCAGGGAAGCTTGAAATGATGCACCACGTTCTCCAGCAAGAGGAACTCTGGGAGGCACGTCAAGGAGAGCTCACCCACCAGAGACACCCCAGGGCTACCACAGACAGGGACATGGGCCAGCAGGAGATAGGGCTGGGCAACAAAGAAATGGGAACCCAAGAACAGACGGGACAAACTGTTTGGGGAGGTGAGGAAAAACTCAACATCCAATTAGTGGCACCCAGGCTCTGACAACTGGTAGAAGAAAACACCCTGGAAAGTGGAAGGCCAACAGTAAGCAGGGAGGTCACATGCAGGTGTACTGGAAATCCAGCAGGGCAAAACACTGGTGTCAGGAAGGACATGGTATGCCAGCAGGAATTGCTGATCCCTCGGGAGAGAGCTTAAAGTCTAATCAAATTACCCATTTGGCCATATAGATAAACAATACAATCCCCATGGACTGAAAACTCAAGGCTCAAGTAACAGCAGGGTTGGCCTGTCCAGAACAGCAACACTGCCTGACCCGTGGGGGGAAGTGGGGAGGTGACAAAGACAGGAAACAGCACAGTAACAGGAGCCCTCAGTCATCAGCACACAATGGGCAACCCCCCCATCAGGGCACAGTGCTGACAACACACCCCAGGCACTCTGTGCAGCAGCTTAATCTAAACGGAGGAAAAAGAACCCCAAAAGTTTGCCCCACAGGGCACAGGTCAACATGTTACCCTGAAATGGCAACCAGAGCACAGCTAGATTAAATCTGCAAGAGAGAAACTGTGTTTGGTTTTGAAAGAGGAACTTCATAAAAATCAGGAAGTCTGCTTAAAAAGGGCAGGACAGCCAGAGAGAATGATTTCTCTGCAAGTGATGCAGGCTATTTAAAAATAAAAGCTGGAGGCTTGAAGCACACACTTGAGAATTGCAGAAGCCCACAGCAGTTAAAATGATGAAGAATACTTAGCTATTAAAAGTAAGTTTGTTTCTATGCAAGGAAAACAGAATCAAGTTCCGCCAGGTGAAACAAAATAACCCCACAAGTAGGCAAGTTCAGTAAAAGCGGGAGGCATCATTTGTGAAGGCACAGAAAACACCAAAACCTATCTTCAACCATATGAAGCAGCCAGTCAGACTGCCTGGGGGTGGAATGAGGGGATCTTTGAGGTTCCTTCCAATCCAAACCATTCTATGACTCATTAGTGTCACAGAACGGGAAGCAGGAAGGAACAGTAAAAAGGAACATGTAACTCAAGTGTGGTTGTGAAGGACAGAAATGCCAAAGGAAATGCAGGCTGAGCTTCCTCAGGCCCATCTGACACACCCAGCTGTGCTTCCCAAAGGATACTGTACAGCTTTCGGTCCTTGGACTCTGACCTCATGCGGCTCAGCTGCTGCTTGTGGCAGCGCAGGCTCCAGGGGTTATAGCTGATCTTCTCGGAGCTCAGACCACTGTTCCCATCCAACATCTGAAATGGAACATCTGAGTGGATGTGCAAGTCCACCCTGGGACTCTTCGACTCCTGGATGCTGCTGGTGTAAAGACAGAACAAACTTGCCTGTTAGAATCCACGAGTTCTCCAGGAACTTATGACTGTCACATCCTCCCCTGGCACACAACCAGAAGTTTGTTCCTTCTGCTGCACACAACACAAACCTTCTTATGAGCAAATCCTCACTAATATCCTGGGCTGTGGACCCACACTCAAAGATCTGGTCTATCTAACAACTCTGTTAGGCTGTACCCTAATTGATACAAGTGAGCAGGAACACTTGTTTCTCAGGGAGCTCTGGCTGGTGAGAGGAGGCAGAGACCCATATTCACAGTACCCTGTGAAGAAACCTCTGGAGAAGTGTTTTAATCTGCTCCACATGCTTTGGTTCCACACCTCATACACTGCCACATCTCATACACAATGTTTCCTGTATCAGAAACATTTCATGTGGACGAGCTGGTCCTGAACCCAGCAAAACTCCTGACACAGTTTGCAGTGCCATAACGTGCTGGGCTAGCAAGTGCGTGACAGCCTGGCCACCCTATGGAAGTGCAAAACATCCTCAACCAAAGGAGTGAGGAAGAGAGATATCCCACTCATCTTGCTGGCACTGGGCCCTCAAAGTTTTACCTTTCAGTGCTGTCACTGGCCAGGCCAGGCTTCTCCTCCTTGTGCTCGGTGCCGCTGCTTGACCTGTGAAGGCTCCGGCGCGAGTGCTTGCGCCGGGGCTGGTCCCTCTCTGGCATATCATCCTGCTCCAGAGCCTCGTTCTCCACGTAGGGATAGGCCACCAGGTTAATGTAGCCATCGCTGTCTCCCTCAAAACACACAGATACCACACCTGCAAGGGAGAAGTGATGTGTCAGTTCTGTTTCTCGGCAGAGGGAATATACAACCACTAGCACCCAAATGTTCAGCAGCAGGGAGGAAAACGCAGCTCACAGAGCAGCAGAGCAAACCCAGAGTAAATAAAAGGGGTTTAAGACTACAAGAACCCGACTGTTGTTAGCACAGCACAGAGAAAAAAAACCCTTAGAGTTCTCTGTGCCACTACCTGAGCGAACAGTCGGCGGCAGCAGGGGAAACTCTGCCACCACAGGAAACAAGGACAAAAGTGCAGCTGGGTAGGCTGAGGGTGTGATTATTTCCTTCCTTCAGCCTTGCAGCAAATGTCGTCAAACTGGAGGGAGTCAAGCACAGTCTGCCAAGATGCTGATGGGAGTGAAGCATATGAAGTAAGTATCCAGTTCTTTGGCTAAGTATCTCTGTCCTGCAGAAGCATTCCTGCTGTTGACAGGGACATCAATGGCCAAGTAGGACTGTGCTTTCTCTGCTAAAGGAGCTTTCCAGCATCAGAACCATGAACTACAGAGCCCTAAGGCTGAGGTGACACCTGCCACTCTTATCACAAGTCAGCCAGTCTCACAGAAAAGGGATCTGCAAGGTCCCAGGGCTCCCTAGCAATAAAAGTGTAACTACCTCAGCCAGGTGCAGGTAAGCAGGACTGTGTGTGTCCTGTCCAGTTCTACCTTCTGAAGGCTCTTGGAAAGGGATTTATCACAGCACAGACTCAGAATATATCTATCTGGTCAGCCACAGAGCAGGACAGCTGACACTTCCAGTTAGGACTGACATCTTCATATCTGGGACTCCTCCAGCCCCAAAAATTAGGCCATCGGCCCATCTCCTGATGTGCAATGACAAAATATTCCATTAGGTTGTCACCAGTATTGAATAGCTGCCAGGAGCACCAAATGAGAGATCCACTGAATCAAATGATTCATCACAAATGTGAGGAAACCTCGTCCTGCTCAGCTGATGCAGACAATTGTGTACTTCCTTTCTCCGAATCTGCACATGACAATGCTTAACAAAGTTCAGGTGGCTCAAACACAACTCCAGAGCAGCTCAGGACTCCAGCATGTCACTACATAAATGCCACTTCAAGTGCTCTGGCTGCCTGCACACACTCCTCGAGATATCTTTCAGTAACATCTGAGTGCCCAGACAGCAAATATCACCCCAATATTCCTCTCTCCCAGATCAGTAGGAACAATTTCTGAGACTGTCAGGAGACTGCACAGGACCCCCAGATGAAATCCCACACTGGGGTAGAGGTGCACATCCTATGCCTTTAGGCTACCAGGAAGTATCTGGCTTCAAAAAGAGAGATCTCCATCTGGACTATCAGCTTCACTGGTTTTAAACACACTTCCCTAGGAAAGCCTGACAGGATTCTAGGAACTACACAGGCTTCAGTGGGATTCCTGATGGGACACCAGAGCAGTGCACAGCCCCAGAGTGGCTGAAGGGGTACAAGAGGACCCATCTGTTGGAGACTGCATCCCTCATGCATGACCTGCACACAGACACAGGTAGGTAAACTGACACTGCTCTGAGAGCGTCAGGCTGCAGCCAGATCCAAAGTGCTCCCGAGCAGATGGTGGTCCCAGCTGCCCATGAAGCACCGCTTTCCCAGTGCCACTTGGAGACAAAGAAGCAGAGGGAACAGGAATGCTGAGCCCCCCAGAAGGCTACCTGCCCACATCACCATCCTGAACATGAACGCACGCGGCCGGAAGCGTATCAAGCTTCCGAAAGACACGGCTGAGCTGCCAATCTCCAACAGCACAGGCACTGGAAAATTCCACTCCTTCAAAGCAGCTGGGGACAAGGCTTCACCTCAGCACTGGGAAAGCCATATTTCCTGCTTTAGCAGCTTGCTGATACAAGCCCATAAAAGAGATGGAATAAGGAAGCAATAAATTACTGAACTGGAATGTGCAAATGCTCAGTATATGATCTAACTTCATTAGCTCAAGGTCAAGGCTGTCATTGACAATAACTTGGTAATGAAACTACTTCAGTTACACATCCATAACCTTAAGCTGTGGACTACAACTGTCACACTGCACATTCTCTGTCTTGAAAGAGGAACGGATTTAACTCCGTGCCTAAAAAAAACAAAATACTTCCTCCTTTCCAAACGCTCCTATCAAATTATCAGCCTGCGAAAGAGAGTTATAAGCAACAAATAAAATGACACCAAAAGACAGCTGCAGGAAAATGGAAGGGCAGGTTCCTGAAGCACGTAACTGTGTTGTGGACTGACGAGAGGCCTCACCTTTGTACTCGGGTGTGAACTCCTTCATTTCCGGGGGCAGAGACTCGTAGAAGCGCTGCTCTCTGGTGATGAGGGGCTTGCAGACGGTGTGGTCGTCGTAGCGCATCATGCTGCTGTGGCCGCCCACCTGGTGGATGAAAGGCTCCAGCAGGACCCCCCGGTCTCCAGATCGAGTGGCATTCTTGCCATACTTGCCCACTTCCATGGTTTGACAAACACACATTGCGTTGAGCACCAGTTGCACTCTTGGAGCATGGGGAGAGCCACATGGGCTGGGAGGGGTAGCTCAGCAGCAGTCAGGCAGCCACAGGGGGAAAATCCTGGCACTTTGCTTCCTTGCAGTGATCTGAAAGAGCAAAAGAGATTCCTGTTAAAGGACCCCTTACATTCGCTCCCTGTTCACTTGGGAAAGGTTTTAGTATTTATTTATATCCATATCTGTTCCTCTTCTGTTTTCTATTTACATCCTGCTTGTTCCAGCATGCTCCTCACCATGTCTTTAATCCTACAGGTAAACACACGCTAATTCGGAGGCAGTCCCATCCAGAGTTTCTCCAATAGGATCAACAGCAGACAGGGAAAGGAGGAGATACGGCTATTGTGAGCTTCACATCTTTAGCAAATACTATTTCCTTCCTTGTTCATTTTATCAGGAAGGCAATGTGATAATGGAGCACAAACTGTGAGATGCAGCCCAATTAAAACCAAGCCCACAGCTGCCTATCAGTTAACGGTGACTGACACAGGCAGAACAAACATTTCCAGAACCTGAGTTTCATTCCTTGTGCATCTGCATTTTTAACATCTAAACAACTAAATAATTCCTGTTCACCTCCCACTCTTGCACTATTCCTCCTTTACTGCTCACTTCCCTTCAAGCACTGACATGAAAGACTCTCAGAGTAGGACACTCATTCTGTCACTGTGTGTATGCTGGAACTGAATGGATTCCTCTCAGATTCTCTCCTTCATTACTCCAAGCCCCTCAGGACAACAACTATTTCCTGACACGTTACAGCACCTACATGCACAAGTCCCTGACCTCTAGAGGTAGGCAAGACATATTGCTAAGTCCAAATGAGATTACAAGTGCTTTGGAGAAGCAGATGCTCTTTTAATGTTTGCAGAGTGCCCAGCACAGCAACAGGATGATGGAAAAGTAAAGCTGCCCAAATTCTCTCCAGATGATTTGCCCTTTCCAGCTTAGATCATAGTTGATCCTGAGACTGCTGGGGAAAATGCCACAGGATTTCCTTACAACGATGAGTTATCCAAATGTTGGTACAAGAACCATGTGGTGACTCGAGTTTCCGAATGCATCAAATTTCCAGTTTCTTAGCACAGCGACAGCCAAGGGTAGTAATTTAAGAACTGAGGGATCCTGGAGGCCTGAACTAGGGACACGGCTCAGGCTGTTCCTCGTCTGGCCACGGGATGTCTCCACAGCTACACAACACTGCATGGCCGGGGGAAATTCCGGATGAACACAGGCTCTGCTCCCTCCTCTCCAGTTCAACCATGTCAGAGATGCAGCTCACGAGATTCAAAAGGAGGGCTGAAATCTTCATAACACGTTTAACCCAATCTAACCCAAAAGCTCCCTGCAACAGGACAATGCTTCCCTCTCCCTACCCGCACATTCCCGCTCACTCCCTCGCACTGGATTTTGGGATAGTATCAGTGTACGTACATTTGAGTTGAATCATCTCACTGAGCCGACAGAAAACATTTCCTTTTGTGGTTACATGACCACACAACCACATTCAGTGTAAGGGGAACAATGTGAATATTTAGCTGGCTTTTAAGGCAGGGGCCGGGGAATAGGAGGGAAAAAAACCTACAGATGGTCCCTCTCTGTAGCAACTGATATCAAAGTCTATTCAAGGTATCCCTCAAAGTCTGTCTCCTACACTCAAAGCCTAAGTCATATCACAAACAAAAACATGCTGGGGATTTCTCTCCTCTGGCTTATTTGCTTTATCAACAAGAAGAAATTTCAGCTGCAGACGCTTGCTTCCGTCAGGGATGTTTTAGTTGGGTTTAAGGCAGTTCATATCCCAGAATAAACGAGGTGCCAGCATCTGCAACAGGCCAGCCCTTCACAGACTCCAGACAAATGCCTCACAGACTTAAGTCTCCCCTTCCTGATGTAGCTTCGTCTTGGACTCGGTTTCTTTTATTTTGCCAGTGACTAAAGTAGTTTTCAGTTATTCCAAACAATACAGAGGACAAGTTTAACTTCACATCTTCCTGTAGTTTAAACTTCACAGGACAAGAGAAATAAGAGATTTGCAAGTGTGACAACAGTAACTGCCATGCTCAGAAGACATGCACCTGACTCTCAGCTCTGGTACAAGTCTCAGTTTTCACTGGAAGTGTCTCAGGGTCTCCGTTTTGCCAGTGACAGAAGGAAGTACTATTATCCATCCTTTGGAGTGGGGGGGGTTACAAGTAGATTCATCAGCTGCAGACCCCTTCACTAACTTCAGATGGAGATCACAAACACCCCCAGGGCCCACAGTGACTGTTCTCAGTTACAGATGCCTCACCTGCAGGCTACAGGTAGATTTTGGTCATCAAAGCAAGAGATCTGAATCCTACTTTCAGCAGCCTTCTTTCACCTAAAAGTGAGCAACAGGAAGCATATGCCACCTGAATCATTCTGAGGACAGAAGCCACCCACTCTGCCAAGTCCCTCAAGCCTTGTCCTCTGGCCTAGAGATACCTGTGAGATGACTGCAGTCATCCAGAGCTCCTGGGAAAGCCCCCGCAGCCACCAAATGCCCTGGGCTCACTGCCAAAGGCCCCAGCACCACCAAAAAAAACCTCAACATGACAAGTTTTGGATGTGCAGGCACCCTGGAAAGAAGTGACAGCCACAGAAACAAAACACTCTGAGGCTGTGAGACAAGAGAAGGAGCTGGGCATAAAGTGGGGAGAGAGTCTAAACCCAGTTACTGCTCCACACATTCATTCACGCACTCAAAAGAAACAGTAACACAGGTAGTTTCCCATGTACAAATGAACGTGAGAAAAAATACTTTGTGGCAAGCAGCATTTCAGAAACAACATTTTTAAAGAGCAATATGTCTACAGGATTTAAGAAACAGACACTTTATAGCTCAGATACAGCTTAGTGTTTTTCATCAAACTAACTCAAAGTAAAGGGTTATTACTAAACATGGACACTATCCACAAGTAAAGACAGAAGAATCCCAGCAGTTTCAAACAAATATAAAGCAGAAAACTATTTGAAGTCCTAAATATTACTCATCCTTCGTCTGTTAAACAAAGGCATGGGTTCAACTATTTTAGCTGGCTTATAAAATTCAGAGCCCTTCCAATTAAACTACAAAATGCAGAGCACAGTCCAAGAAACAGCTTGAGGGAGACCAGGTCATCCAAGCAGACCCTTTGGTATCCTCCAAAACCACCACTATAGCTCAAACAGCAGTAAAGCATCCAGGCCAGTTTGGCCTCCCCTCTTCTGGCAGACTGTGAGACAGATCTCCCATCGAGCCAGACTCTGGAGATGTGGGGGATGAGGTTCAGGAGCAGAGTTATCCATGACTACTCAAGGACATATCACATCTCATATTTCATTATCCTCCCCAGTAAAAGACTCTTGTACTGGAAGAGAATTTGCTCTACAATATTTAAGTCTAGACACCTGTCTGTCAGTGTATCAGCTCCAAATGTGAACTACAAACCTCACTGTTCAAACACTTTTTAGCAGGATGGGCATAAAGAGCAGCAATAAGATGTGTTTTCTTGTAGTAAAGTACATTTCCAAACAAAATTCATGGAGACACACAAGGTAACTGTTTTTCCTAACCATTAAGGGGAGTAAATCCTGTCCCCAAAACTGACATCACTCTCCAGCAGGGACCATGTCCCTGCACAGACACAGTGCTGTGCTCTTGAAGACCCAGCCAGACACCTCTTAAACACCACTGAACCCTGGCTGAAGACTACAGGTGAAGATCTTGCCAGACCAGCATCAAACCTGTCCTCTTTGATGGTGTAACTTAAAGTGTCAGAAACCTTAGCCTCAAAGGTGAGGGCAGATGGGTGTGAGAATTACTGCACAGTGCACCACAATGCTGATCCTCCTACTCTTTATAAGCAGTCTTGCATGGGAATGCTGGCAATGCCTCGTGACTCACTAGTAAAGCTATTTTCCCTAAATAAAAAGGAGAATAAACATTTTAAGTTGTGATGCATTACACAGTGAGAAAGCTGCCTGCACTAAGCACTGCTGACTCGTGCCTCTGCCCTCAGCAGCTTGCACATGCACCTTTGCAGCCCCTCCTCGGCCTGTGGCCAGCCCCAGGCCCTGAGGGAGGCTAAGGCAGATGGCCACTGACGACTCTGGAGCGGAGCCACAGGCGAGGGATAAACACAGACCTCAACCTCACAACAGCAGAAGTTGCAGGTTCCCTGAACAACCTCGGAGCACTCAGGAGCAAAGCACAAGAACAGGAAATACCATTGTACCAGGCAAGAGGACTACAGCATTCGGCCAGTGGGTTCTTGGTGACTCGTTAGCAAAGAGAAGCACCAGCCAGCATCCGTGCTGAAAAGCAAGGTGGTTTCTAGTCAGGCTGGACTGGGTGAGTCAGCTTTTACTAAAGAAAACCCAGTCTAATAATAAAAAAAAAAAAAGTGTCTCCCACTGTGCTATGAGATCAACTTCCCAGCACAAAAGCTGACCCACAGGTCTGAGACATGTCTGTCTAGTCAGCAGTAAATGGAGAAGAGCCCTGGGACCCAGGCAGAGAACTCAGCTCTCCAAGAACCTGCAGCAACGCTTAGGATGTAACCAGAAACATTTGGCCATCGTGGTATCCAGGAAGCTACAAACCTTCCCAGACTGCTTAAGCACACAGCTCTGAATCCTGAGCCTTCCCCTGCATCTTGTCCAACACTTGAACTACTACCAAATACTCCTTTTTCAACAGGCTGCTTCTACCACGGCAAATGTGGCTCGTCAGATCGAGGCCAGGAAGCAGAATACAATCTACATACATGCACCAGAAGTGAAACGGAAGTCTTAGGAAAAGCTGTTGGAGAATGCCAGCTGAGGAAGAGAATGCCAACAGTGAAGCTGGGGCAGGAACTGCAATGCAGAAGGGCATGGAGAGGACAATAGCCACAAATGAGTACACTCCAGCCGGTGCCATGAGCTGAGATTCCCTCACCAATACTCTTCCTGCCTCAACTACAGGGCACAAATGCACAAACTGCTGGACTGTGCACAAGGAAAGAGCCTGTTCTACTCTAACACAGAGCTTGACTGAACCTACAGTAAGGAAACCAAAATTAAGTTTGCAGTAAAAATCCTTA